CCWYMAAAAAGGGGATGCCGTTGGAACCTTACAGCACGTAAAATTGCGCGAGGAATTGGGATYTTTTTTTTCATMGTATTCCTGTTACTGTTTTTGCGGTCCAACACTTTTGGGGTGTTGCGAAATAGAGCTAAAGCATTTGTTGGCAGCCTCCACCAAAGTTTCAATTCAACCGACWTCCTTCTAGTTTCTACGGAAATTGTAAATTGTTGCTGCCAATCGAGTCGAGTCGAATAGTCCAGTCGAATCGAATCACCAAGCACCGTCGCCGCGCCAACACGTTGCCCCGTACACAGGATCGCCAACCATACAATCGCGGCATGCCATTGCAAGGGASGCCGACCATGGACGCCGGGGACGAGCGAGCAAGAGAGGGCGGTGGTGGCCGGCCCGAGAGTCCCGAGAGCCGCCGGCACACAAACGACGCCTCGCGCAAGCGCAAGCCCCGGTCCGGGAGGGAAGACCGCGGCCGGAGGAGCCGCAGCCGCCGCGAGGACCGGTGCGGCGAGAAAGGGAGACCGCGCTCGGGGCCGAGGCCCGACAACGAAAGCGAGAGCGACGGAGACGCCCGGCGCCGCCGGAGGCGGGCGGCGAAGCGGAACGCGAGGAAGGAGGAACGCGAGCGGGGGCGGCGGAGGCGAACGCACCGGAAAGGGCGGAAACGAAGAAAGCACAAGCGATCCGCGTCGCCCTCCTCTTCGTCGTTGTCTTCGGGCGGTGAATCGTCGTCGTCCTCCTCCTCCTCTTCGTCGTCTATCCCCGACAAGAGGGCGAAGCGCAAGAGGTCCCGGAGGGAGGGCCCGAAACGGAAACGGCGAAGGGAGGCCCGAGGCGGAGAGAAGGCGGCAGCGCCTCGAGAACCACCTCCTCCGAACCGAGACCCGACCGTTGCGGCGGAAGCCGCCCCGTTGATCACCGCCGCCGGGACGGCTTCCGCCGCCCGGTCCCGGTCGATGGCCCCGATGTCCAGGGAAGAACACGCCCTGGAGCAGTCCAGGATCCGCGAGGTCTACGACCCGCTGAGCGGGCGGGTCCGCCTCGTCCGGGGGACCGGCGAAATCATCGAGCGCATCGTCTCGGCGGACGCCCACAAGCGCATCAACGCGGTGGCCACCAGGGGGGACGGCTCCGCCTTTTCCCGCGGCGTCTACGACCGGCTGAACAGGCGGTGAGGCGGCGGCTCGACAAACAATAGAGATAGAACGAAAGAAACACCAATTCTTTCACAAAGCAATAAATACAGGAACCACTAAATATTGTTGTAGTGTCGATTGGGAATTTTTATTCGGTGCTATAGGCCGAGACTGYGGTTGCTTCTTGGGGTTTGGACGACCGGTACGTCTGTGTAGTGCTCGTACTTGTATTGGTGCTAAAAGAAATCCGTGTCGTCGTTGCTCACGAGCGAGGCGTAGTCGACCATGCCRAACTCGTCTTCCTCCTCGTCCTCCACCTCGTCCCGGATCTCGCTCAGGACCTGGAGCCAGGCCGAATCGTCCTGGTCGTCCTCGTACACCAAATTGGTGGTCTTCTTGGCGGCGGCGGTGATCGTGACGGGGGGATCGTTGTTGAAGAGCGACGAGGTGGCCTTCTTGCCGGTCGCCGGTGGTTGGGATTTGGGCCGGTTTGCCTTTTGGCGTTGCTGCTGTTGCTTCTTCTGCTTCCTCTCTTTCACCCCGGCGGCTTCGACCAGGGCATCCTTCATCTCTTGTTCCGCGGCCTGGAGCTTTGTCGCGAATTCTTCTTCGGCGTCCTTGGGTCTCTCCGGCTGTGCTGTTTTTGTCGCTGCTGCTGCTGTCGAGGTCTCTCGGGGGGTTTCGGGCGTTTCGTTTCGCTCGACCGCCTTTGTTGACGAAACCGGCGCGGGTGCTTCGGCAGCGTCGCCGACCGCATCCCCGTCGACGTCGGCTTTCGAATCGGTGGACGTCGCCTTCGTTTCCGCCGCCAACGCCGAGGCGTTGTGCGCGACCGCATCGACGGTCGCCGGTGTCTCGAGCTCGCCCGCMRGAAYCGCCGAAAGATCCGTCGCGCTCGCGGCAACGGACTGGTCGCCKCCACCGTCGTTGCCGTTCTTCGCCGCGGGAACCGCAGCGCTGGCGTCGCTGTCTTCTTCCTGGTTGCCACCCAGCACGGCGGCCATTCCCACGACCCCGACACCGGCGGCTCCGAGGACGATGGGGGAGAGACCAAAGGGGGCGGCCGGTGCCGCTCCCGGTGCCACCGACGATTTTTCGGCCTTGGCGGAATCGGCCTTCTCCTGGAGCGCTTGYTTCCTGGCGGCGTAGGCAGCCTCCTTCTCCGCCTTCTTCTGGTCRGCAAGGGCCTTTTGCTCCCGCAGCCGCTGTTCCTTCCTTTCCTGGATGGCCAGTGCTTCCTGCTTCTTTTGTTCTTCTTTTGCTTTGGCTCGCTCTCGGGACAACCGCAGCTGCTCCTGCATTGCGGCCCGTCGTTCCTCCTCGGCCTTTGCCTGTGCGACGGCTACCTCCTGTTGTTTCTGGTAGTAGGCCTGGTTGTCCTCTTCTTGCTTGTCGTTGGCCCGGCTGTCCTTGAACGAGACCGAAAAATCTTTCGCTTTCATCTGGCGGAGCTCCCCGAGCTTTTCCTTTCCGTCCTCGATCTTGGCGAGGTAGGACGGATCGTTCTTTCGCTCCTCGTACAGGGCCCGGACCGATTCCGGCGTGATGTCCWGGCGAAGCTCCCCCGGCTGAAACTCGAGCGCGTGGACGTCCCTGAAGGGAATCCCCGCGATCATGCACGACAGCAGGGCCGGGCCGGTCCCGTCGGGGAAAATGACGAGAATGATTTCCCCGGCGGTCCGGGATTCCTGGAGGGACAGAAACTGGCGGAGGCGGGTGAACTGGTCGTGGAGGGTGTCGTTCGGGGTCCCGTCCGTGTTGGCCGGGGGCCGGGCCCCAAAGCCCTCGACCCCGGCTTCCATGGCATCCATGGCCCAAACGGCGGGCCGCACGACCGTTTCGTCGGAGGAATCCCACAGGCCGATCCCGCGCTGGTCGAGGTAGGTAAACTCCGGGAGCAATCGGTCCCGTCCCAATCGGAGTTCTCGGGCGATGTAATCCCCCGTGTCCATTCCGTTTGCGGCCAGGGAGTGGTAGACGACCGTCGGTGGAAGGGAGGTCTTCTTGAGGGCGGAAATACTGTCCCTGAGGCAGTCGTATCCCTGCTGCGAGAGGGCGTTGTCGCGGTTGGTGAGGAACAGGGCGTTGGTGCTGTAGATGCCCTCCAGCTCCAGCTCGGAAGTCCCGGCGCGAATAAAGTGGTATTTGTTTTTGAGGGGCTGGGTGTTCGGGTCGTCCACCGGGAATCGCAGCAGYAGGGCGTTGGCCGGGTCCGCTGCAAGCATAAAGGGCGTCGCGAGTCCACCAAAGAGCGCTTTGGCGGAATTCGAAAAGACCTCTCGTCGGTTCATGTTCGTGTTTACGGTCATGCTCTGCGGCATTCTTAGCAGTGATGATGGTCCTCCTCGGTCGATTTCTTCGGACGACGACGATGCTAGCGACAAACACGTGCGCTGACGCCTTCTCGGATTGGTTGTGGTCGACGACGACGACGACGACGACGAGACAGACGACAATCTTGCCGACGGAAAGGAATTTTGAGGAGCTTGACGCCGGACATTCTTTGCCTGGAGCGCTGATACAACGGTATACGAGTGGCAGAAGTGGCAGAGGAGCAGGGAAGACAAGAAAAGTGCCCGGTGCCGTTTCCCAGATTGCGATTCCCTTGACGTGCCGCTCGCTGTTGTCGTGCTCGTTCTCGTTGTTGCCATGGTGGTTCGGTTGGCGGGGTGTTTGAGTTTCCGTTGTTTGTGGTAATGACTCGGTTGGTCGAAAGCGAGGTGCAGTTGTTTTCTTCTGTGACAAACGATGACGACAGTGATGACGATGGATGACGAAGATGGTGGATGATTCGAATAGTGAGAGTCGTTGTTTTCTTTCTATGCTTCGAGTCTTTCTTTTTTGGAAAGCATGGAAAACTATTCGCCATCCGCATGTCGAAACCATGGATGGCACGGAAGGCTAAGTATTGTCGTCGTAGGATGCAGTACGAGAGGTACGTACATGGGTACCGTATGTGTCGTTATCGCACTGCATTATCGGCAGTATCTTTGGTCTTCTTCGTGGGAAACATCAACCCCATGAGAACCATGAGACGACTTTCTTTCTGTGGATTCTGTGGATTCTTTTTCACGTTTTGGAAAGAAAAAGAAGAGAATAAGACGGAAGAACGACTACATATGCGTTGGTAAACTGTGATTGGCTCATTTGGTTGCGAAAACGATGTCATTCTTTTTTTAAAATCGAGAAAACCAAGCTCATAACCCAACAAAGAAATTCAACATACGTAGAGAACCGAATTTTTCTCAAAAATATAATTCTCAATCCCGYATCAATTTATCAATCCGTGACTGGTCAAACCATCACACACCAATCAATCGAAATCGAAAGATCGAAGAAAAACAAGAGATAGGGTTATGACATGACAAGTACGAGTACTTGTACCGCATTTTGTGATGTCGTGATGTGTGACGGCAACATGTAATAACAGCATCGTGATAACAACATCTTCCTTCCACCGTCCCGTGCAGTGTCAAACTCAGCCAACAGCCTATTCCTACCGTACCGTACGACACAGCATCATGGCGACAACAAGCGCCCACTTGGTCATCCCCGGGCAGGTGATCGCCACCTCGTCGACGAACCATGAACTCGACAACCAGCAGGACCACAACGAGGGATTTTTGCGGGGCCACGGGACCTTTGTCGAGCACGATGCCTCCAAGCAAGAGGACCGTCTCGTCGCCAGTGTTTGCGGGGTCGTCCACCGGGTCAACAAACTCATCACGGTGGTTCCGTACTGCCCATCTCTGTACAAGGGAAACGTCGGGGACCTGGTGGTCGGACGGATCTCGGCGGTGGGTGTCTCCCGGTGGACCGTGGCGCTGCACGAGGCCAGCAAGGACGCGGGGCTCCCCCTCAGCGGGGTCCACCTGCCAGGGGGTGCCCAGCGGATGCGAACCTCCCAGGACTCGCGAGACATGCGCTTGTTTCTCAAGGAAGGAGACCTGGTCTGTGCCGAGGTCCACAAGGTGCAGCCGTCGGACGGTTCCCTGAGCCTGCACACCCGGTCGCACCGCTTTACCAAGCTCGAAAACGGTATCCTGGTGCACGTTCCGCCGGCCCTCGTGCCGAGGCGGAAAAACCACGTGGTGTCGATGATCAACGACACCATCGATGCCCTCTGGGGAGTCAACGGGAAGATCTGGCTTCAGCGCAAAATGGGGGACGACAAGAGCCAGGGCAGCGGCAACAGCAACACGCTGACGAACGAGGGCATGAAGGACGTCGCCGACCTGCAGGAAAAAATGCGCAAGGACCACGCCGAAACGCCCGTGGACGTGCAGCTGCGGCGATCCCTGGCGCGGCTCCGGAACGCCGTGGAATGCCTCCGRATGGTCCACGCCCTCTGCGCCCCGGAAAACGCCGAGGCGGTCTACCACAAGTCTCTGGAGATGGGGCTGGCGAATCCATCGGAAATGCTCTTTCCGAAACACGTCTTGCTTCTAACGGAAGACTTGCGGGCGTAGCCCCCGGTCGGTCCGTTGGAGAGTAGTAAAACACGAATCGAATCGGATCGAATCGAAACCAAAAGGAAAACAGAACGGGACGAACGCAACAGAACWAAACTACCAAGAAAGCGTGAACAGTACATCCGCGGGGTGTCGCTCTGCATCGGAACGTTTGCTTTTTCTGTGACGAGATCGTAACACTAATCACGGTGAATGAATGTATCCATCAATCCGTTCATTGACTATCCAGTCCTTAGTCCATCGTCAAGGCGTGTGCAACCAGAAGGTCTCTCCAAAAATGTTCCCGGATACTATATACGCTGTCAATCAGATGCTGTTAGGATGTATCGAATTGGATGGCTGGTATCTACAGCCGATTGCATTTTGTACTAGTACCACCACTATGTTTGGTGAAAGCGTCAACAATAAGTTCATGTTATAACTTCTGTCTCCAGAAACTACTACGATCACACCAAAACACGTCATTGATATTGCAGTCCTGGTATTTGAGCACATCTCGATGCGACGAGGATGCAGGTAGTACTACTACTGGTTCTATAAGTCGTACAAGTCGAGTAATTCTGCGCCTCGCTCGTGATCCGCCTTTTTGCAGAGAAAAGTGTTCTATCAATGGAAAATAAGCTGTCATGCAACATGGTGACAGTATTGCTATTATACTACTACAACTGCTATTTGTACTATCTTTTACTTTTACTAGTAGTAATAATATTTCAAGAAGTTCCGAATAGTACAAGTCCACCTCTTTCCATGTAAGGATAGTAAGGTCCATGCCTTCCTGACCTCTCTCCAGAATCCAGAACAGCTCGGACTGAAGAACTGTCAACCGGAATGCCCCACTGTACAGGACGTGGGATTTTGTTGCGGATATTATTTGTGAGATTGTGGGTCTTCCTTCGTGGTGGTGTCGTGCGTGCAGTGCGATCCGCCTTCTGGACAAAAGAATATTAAATTGAAATTGAATCCTACAGAGGCATAAATATGAAATAACGTGCCTTGACATACAGGAGCAGATGACCAGYATCCAAATACCGCGCGATTGATCCATGGCTGGAGAATACGAAAAAAGGTCGTACATACCGGTACTATCATGTTTCGGTTCGTACTAAAATCCTGAGAATTCAAACAGGAATCGGATTCGAAGAAAAGATCCTTCCTTTTCTGCTTTGCTACAATTCACTAAKGTAAAAGTTTCGGTGCCTGTTCCACAAACCTTAGGTCCCATTGCCTCGAATCAAATCAAATCTATCGTGCGCCATTTCCATTCAAACACATTTTTTTTACTTTCTACACGATGGGTCGCTTCTTCAAGAAATTTCGGCAGAGAATCGAAAGCCGCATCGATGCCGCTGTTGCCGAGGCTACTGGTGGCGGCGGATTTGGCATTGCCAACCAAACCGCTGCCCAGCTTTCCTTTGAGGAACAGAAGCCCGATTCGATGCGACAGAAGGACGTTCGAATGATTTCGGGTTGCGAGGATTCTCAAACCTCGGCGGATGTTTCCAACGTTGCACATTTTTCGCTACCCGATCCGGCAGGCCGTGCGGGGGGTGCCTGTACCTCGACCCTCCTGAACATTTTGTACAAGGACGAAACCGTCCCGGAAGACACCCTGAGTTTTACGCAGGTTCTCGAGCTCATGAGGTCCGATTTGCGCCGCGGGGGCTATAGCCAGATCCCCCAACTGACCTCGCTCAACAAGATTGACGTCGAGACGGACTTTCAGCTTGTGCCCAGCACCGCTACCGGAGTCCATCGGGCGGTCATGGTTGGAATCAATTATGTCGGACACAGCCCTGGAGAGCTCCGAGGTTGTCACAACGATGTCTTGAATATGGTACGTCTTATGTGGTACAAGCGAAACGCCGAGTGTATTACTGTGAAGTGCAGAGCAAATTTCCATTGGGTCCTGATCCCTGACTCCCTAGCCATTTTCGTGTGACATTGACCTCTCTCGTGTTGTAGAAAAAGTACATCATGGAAGTACACGGGTTTGAAGAGGAAAACATTGTAATCCTGATGGACGATGGGATCCACACATCGCCGACTAAGGAGAACATGATTGCAGCTTACGAACAAATCGTTGCCGACAGCGAAGAGGGCGATGCCATCTTTTTGCACTACTCGGGTAAGAGTCGAAACGTCATGCAAGAACTGTATTTTATCCAAGAGCTCGTACATTGCCACAGTGCAAGGCAAGAATGCCATACTCGCATCATGCTTTTTAATTTTGTCTCTTGGGTGTATTGACATGCTAACCAACTTCTGTGCATTTCTTTCTTGCACCGGATGGCAACCTGCAGGCCACGGAACTAAGCTTGTCGACCAAAGTGGAGACGAAGACGATGGTTATGATGAAGCGCTAGTGCCCTTGGACTTCAGGGAAAGTGGAATGATCCTGGACGACGATCTCTTTGATATTTTGATTGCGCGCCTCAGCGATGGGGTTCACATGGTCTCGCTTATGGATTGCTGTCACTCTGGGACTATTTTAGATCTGCCCTACATTTTTAAGCCAATGCAAGACGGATCCATGCCCCAAGAGATGCAATTGGACGACTCAGTAAATTTAGATGGCATTCTCCAGCAATTTGGTGGCCAGGCATTGGGCATGTTGACTAATTTTTTGAATTCAAAACTAGAGTAATCCGAGCGGCCATGTATTCAAAAAAAGGATGAAAAAATAAATTAATGCAATAAAACGGCGATAGAAACAATGTTCCAATTGTTCCATTGTTGTAATTATCTAAGAGTATGGATTCTTGCGTTGCGCTCGTTCAAACGACCAAATTTGGGTCTTGGACCAAGTAGCTAACCTTGTTCGCCTGGTCTTGGACCACTACTTGAGTTTCTATTTCCTGTTGGTGGCTGGTGGCGATGCATCCCAGAGCTTCCGAACAGCACGTTGTACAACATGCGCAGCTTGTTTTCTCACAATCGGCCCAGAATTCTTTTAAGGGCACTGGTCTCAAGGCATCGCAAATGGTTTGTGGAACCCCAGGCTTTTGTCTGTTGGTCCGAAAGTTGTTCGAATCAACGTAGAGCAATTCCAGACGGGATAGACGGGATATAGAATCTGGAAGCTGACCGCTGAGGTCGTTGTCGAAAACGCTTAATCCCGTTAACTTGGTGAGAAGACCGATCTCGGTCGGGAGGTTTCCATAAAACTGATTTGAGCCCAGATTTAATACTTTCAGGTTAGAGGAGAGGGGCGATCCATCCCCCCACACATGCGAAGGTAAAGTTGTTCGGAAAGAATTTTCGTTGAGATCTAGGTGGATCAATGATTCCATGTTTCGCAATTGAGACAGAAAACTGCTGCTTTTGCTACCATTCCTCGTAGTTTTCGCAGTCGAAAAAATGTTATCGGACAACACTTCTTTTGCATCATCGTCATTGTTATCATTCATTTCGTCCATGTAATGTACCAATTTGTTCGAGGATAGGTCCAGGTACTCTAAATCTTTCATGGTCGTTACATAGGATGGAATGGTGCCTGTCAGAGAATTTTTTGGCAATCTTATTGTTCGGAGGTTGGTCAACAAACCAATTTCATCCGGGATTCTTCCTGTCAAGCCATTCTGACGCAAATCTAACACAGCAAAAACATTGTTGCCCAAACTGCTGTTTTTTCTTTGCGTAGAAGTGGTATCGGCAGTGCAAATATCTTGAGAATCACTAGTTGTGTACCACTTGCATTCGTCGGCATCGGAGAGCCATAACGAAGAGGTTTTCCAACTTGTGCTGTTTGCATTAGTAGCGTAGTACAACGTAGCCAATGCATATCGCTGAAGAAGCCGTGGTTCAGAATAATTTTCGTTCATGGGTTCTTGCAACCAGGAAAGTGCTGCCGATTGAGGCGATGTGGGATCTTGTAGAGAGGCACCTCCATCGGCAGCATTGGCAACAATCAAATCAACGATCATTTTATTTATTGGTGCAGATGTAGGAATTCCTGTAGATTGAGGCGGGCTTGAGTTCGGTGGCATGGAAACTGGAGACATAGTTGAAAGTGCAGGTGGCAAAGTTGGTTGCGTTAATGGTTTTGAAGTCGGTGGTAATGGGGCTGAGGGAGTGGGATTGTCTTGGTCGCGCTTCTTAAGAAGTATTAGTGCTGCTGCTACACCACCTCCTATGACAGCAACTATTAGAATGCAAGAAAGAATAGAAGCCACAATTAGTTTCCTTTTCCTTCCATTCGATTTAGATTCGTCTTTTGTCGAATGAATAACCGAGTCATGGCTATCTGGTTCGTCAGAGAAATGACCCATTGGTATATCAATATCATCATGTCTACTTTCGATGCTTGCACTGCTACCTCTGCTACCATTGCTACCATTGCTACCATTGCTCTCACTACTATCATTCCTATTTCCATCTTCGCGGTGGTTCCTACCAAACATTAGAATCGACTGAGAAGAGGTCGAATATCCTGATTCCAAGTCAAAATCTTTTCTGGATTTTGAGGTTCTTGATATCGATCCCTCAATGTCAATAGACGCAGATGAAAAGGAAGCTCCAACATTATTTCTATTTTMGGTATGCCCAGACTGTGATTGCTCTGTTCGCGGGTAAATCCATGATGATTCTTCGTCAACGATCCTTTCAGGAGCATTTTGTTGCACCAACCCGATCTCAGTTGTCTTCATTTGTTTATTTTCCGGCACTATTGCAAGCTCAGGAATTCCCCACGATGATAATAACAACTTAGGGTCGAAACCCTTGAAGTTTGCTCCATCAGAAAGAACCCTCTGTGCCGGCTCGTCCGTTGATATTTTAGGCAAAGCATGTAGTTGCTGGGCCAATAAAACAACCGGTTCTTTCGAATCGCTATCATTCTCTGAACTATTCTCACCATGAATCAATTTTTGATCAAAATCTTTTGTAGAATGTGAAGGTTCGGTATACATTTCAAAACGCTCTTTTCGATGAACATAGCTATATTTCCGACCTCTTTCCTTTTTTAGAAGCGAAGGTGGACCCCAGTTTGATGTTATCGAAGAATCTTCTGGTGTTCTATTTATAAATCTTGGTTTTCCGAATATAGACGTTACTGAAGAATCTTCTGGCGCTCTGTTTTCATGAGTGAACTTTCCAATTTTAGAAACTTCTAGGGATCGAGGCTTTGCTGCATTTTGGGGTAGGCGTAAGTGCAGTTCGGGAGGATCTGGCTTGTTGTGTGGTGAATCCTGGTCTACTTCAGGGCTAGGAATATATCCAAAAGGGTTCAAATTAAAATTCGGTGGGACCCAGGGGGTGTGGCCTTCCTCGATATCTTCGACAACAGAATGATCTTCCTTATCTTTTTCTGAAYTCTGCGAAGATTGGACATCCCATACTTTTAAAGCAAGATACGCCCTTTCCAATGCTTTGCCAAATCTGGTATTCGGCTTTTCTTTTTTCTGGTCACTATTGTTGATTGGTTTCGGAACTTCTGTTTGCTCAGTCGACCCAGTAGCAGAAGGTTCATCAAGATGGTTGGTACCCATGACCGAAAAATCAACTTGGTCAGTTTGACCCTCCTTCTTAATAGCACCATTGGAATCAGCGGTATAAGAAACGTCAGCATTGATGGCTCCCTCAACCACTGATGTCTCATCTACTTTTGAATGTTTCTTGTTTTCATCATGGGTGGTTTGCTGTACAGCCGAAGTTTTTCCTTGCTCAGAAATAATTTCTTTTTTTCTTGAATCATTTGAATCAGCACCAGAAGATGCATCAACATGGATGGTTCGTCCCACGATTTCGTCGTCAGTCTGAGAAGTCGAAGAATGAAGAACAGACTGCGTCGAGTGAACAATAGATTTATCGTTTTTTCCGCCGACATCATTGAAATTGTTTGCAGTGATGGAATTCGTTTTCGAGTCTGCAGACGATCCGTGAGGGGGCACTTTTGGTACTAACAGGTCACCTTTACTTGACGAATGAAGCGTCAATGATGGCTCTCTGCGACCGGGAAATTTTGTTTTCTCCTTTTTTTTCTTCATTTGTTTCACTGCCGTAGATGTCAATGCAGTGGCAGATGAAAAGGAACCTTCTTTCTTCACGCTTGATTCGTCATGGTATGACGAAGAATGCGAAGATGAGCGGAAAGATGAAGCATCATATGAATTCGTACTAGAAAATGATGCCGAAGAGAAAGAGCCAGGTGGTGGATCACGACGAATTTGACTCGCCTTTTTTCCGAGGGAATTTCCATTCTTTCTCTTCCTTTTGAAATCTTGCTGGTTTCTCGCTTTCATTGCACTTGGAAGTGACATTTTTGGGATGGCAGTGGGTAAGAGAGAATCACTTTGAACTCTTTCTGGCCCTGAGCAAAACTCCTCGGTSACCTTGGAGGAGATTTCACGATGATTTGATACTGGCTTGGGTCGTCTGATATTATCGATGTGAACAGAGTTCTCTGGACTTCCGACCATCACTTGTTCTCTTGCCTTCTTTCTCGTCTTTTTCTTCTTCTGCTTCTGCTTCTGCTTCGATTTGGGTGGTGTGGCCAAAGAATCCCCACCCAGATCTTCTTCGTCGATAGACCGGGATTCCGGAGTCTGAAAGCTCCCGGGTTCAGCCATGCTTAGTGGCTCCRAGACACTGGATCCACTTTCTTCAATATCTGAATCGTACTTTGATGTCATCTTCCACGACGATCCTCGAGTTTCTTCTATTTCGTTGATATCTTCTTTAGCTTTTAATTTTTTAGTGGCGCGATKTATTCTTCTCTTTTTCTTAAACTTTTCAAGGTCAATCATCTCCTCTGCATCAAGTTTTTCTCCAATTTGAAACCGACTCAAAAGATCAAGCTCGTAAATTCGACYTTCATCAACGCTTTCGCCATTTTCTTCTCGATCTAAAAGACCATTTAATTCGTCAACTTCTGATATCGATAACATCGATTCTTTCGAGATACTAATAGCATCTATCGATGATAAATTCGAGTAATCTTCGTCCGAAGGCACTTTCTCTTCGAATGATTTTACGACGGCGGCAATCTGCTTCTTCATCTCTGCTGCCTTGACTTTTCCTTGTGCTTCATTTTCAACCCTCTTCATTTCAGTTAA